ATTTTTCCGTATTATTAAAAATAAGTAAAGTATTCAAGGTGTTCGAAGTGGACCACCCTGTATACATATATTTTACGTTGAAAATTATTATATATTACATATATATATTACAACTATTACAACTATTATATATTATATATTACATATATTTTACGTTTAAAACTATTAATTTAAAAACCAAAAAAAAATATCTAGAATTATGTGCAATACTGAGAGAAAAAAATAATTGATCCAACTATAATTATAGTTTTTAATCCCAACCATACTTTTTGATTATTCTAACACGAAAATGATAGTAGTAACATATGAAGTCATCATCACCAATATTATAGTAGAATTAAAAAAAAAGAAAGGTTTTCTTGTGACCATAATTTTATCATCATTTCTAATCTATCACATCTAATCATTTCTCCACGTGTAACTGTAGTTACAAATACTAATTTTTTTTTCTCAATGCAGAGTTATTAGTATTCAGGTATTTGTATTTTTACCTCATATACATTCCCCAAGAACTACGTATGCTCTATTGACATGTTGAAGCAAAACATTTTGCGTTTCTCTTTCTTCCTCTCTCTAATAAATAATGTTTTCTTCTCTCTCTCTCTTCTTTGCATTCATCTCAATGCTACGACTGTTGAATTTAGAACGCCTCCAAACACAATAAATCCAATTGCTCTCGCGGTGGCGTGAAGATTGAGTTTCTGCTCAATCTTCACGAGAGGAAGAGAGAGAGAGAAAAAAAAAAGAAAATATCGCGAAGTCAAGAGATACGGTCGTGAGATAATGCTGCATTGCTGACTGCATATCGATTGGCTGAGACACGAGGCTAACTTAGCGTTTGCAAGAAAAAAACAAAGTCAATGTTGCCGTTTCAGCGGTTTTTCGCATGAAAGGAACACGATCGCATATTATAGGATATTGCACGGACGGATACAAGGAACTGCACGGACTCAATCGTCTTCGTTTTCCTCGTTAATGGAACGTTCTAAATCTTTTGTCTCGCATAATTCGATTCAGGGAACTTGAGGGGAAGAGAACCGACTGTGTAAGACGTGTATCTGTCCTGCGAGGACACAGTTCCCGTTAAATAGGACGACCGAGTTACACCGAGTATATTCGTTTTGCATATCGAACACTCGTTCTCGCGGTATGCAACGTAACTGGTCTCGCTGGAAAAGAAATTTGCACATGGATGGATAGTATCATGGACACACGTACACGCGCTTGTTTTCGCGTCGCGTTCGAATGCTTGTCGAAGAATCCATTGCGTCACGCTCGGGTTGCTGCCAATTATTATACGGCGAAGCTCGTACATCGCCAACACTGCGTGCGCAGGTGGTAGTAATGAATATACGGCTGAATCCGAAAGTATTTACCGGGTCGAAGCAGTTGCGAATCGATCGTTTCTCTATCAGCTCGAGTTTGTTGCTTTAACACTGCGTAACACTGTAAGGTAAAAGTATCAATGCCTGGACGCTGGGTATCTAACTCTGGACGTTCTTACTGTGTTGGTCTTTAAATACGAATATTGACACTTTCAATGTATACTGTAATTAGAGATGTAAAATTACCGTCAGATTCGTCAGAAAGTGACGATTACTTACAGAAACTACAGAAAGATGGTAATTTATTGGTAATTTCGATCAAATTGTTTTTGATAGTTTCATGCACAAATATTCATGTTTTCTGCACTAATGGAAGATGAAACAACATTCTTCTTATATTCTCATCAAATGTACATCTAATAATCTTTGAAATGTCTCTTAGATGGAAGAAAAGAAACTATTTACAATCTTTCGAGAGCATTAAAGTTTTCATTTCTTAAAATATTACTAAAAATTTTCAATTATATACCACAGTTTAGTCACTGAAAAACAGTAAAGAATAAATGAAAATGCTATAAACTTGTAAAATGATATAAAAATACAGATTGAAATTGTTTTTGAGGTATGAAAGATATAGATTGAAACTTTAAATTTTTTTAAGTTTCTCTAGTTACTGTGTCTAGTTTCCTAATTATTATATGTTGTATATAATATATCAATATACTCTATCAAAATATTTTATGGAAAATATAAATAAAGTATCTTATCTTAAAGGTTAAATGCTCTTTTTGAGCTTTATGCTAAAATTTTTTTCTAAATTACTACTTTATCAGCTTTCCAAAATTACCGAATAATTTACCGTAATTTACCAAATAAGTTATCGTCAAATTGAGTCATTTTTATCTCTAATTGTGACGATAATATATAAAACCCTTGTGTACGTGTAGATTAGGTCAAACTGTACCAAAAAGTTCTCTATCACTTTGTGAATAATCACGTAGATTTTTTAGTTGTTAATTAAAGAAGATTAGTGAACAATCGTGCGTAATCATTCGCCAATCCTCTTTAATTAATAACTTAAAAGTCTACGTAGTTGTTTGCAAAATAATCGAAGGTATTTGTGTGTGTGTCTTTAAGGATTTTTTTACCTCTAATGTACAAATACACTACGGCAAATTTCGTATTAAAATCTCGTCACACGCTGCACCATATTCTACGTGATCATTTGCCAATATTCTTTAATTAATAATTAAAAAATCCATGTGGTTGTTTGCAAAATAGTGGAGGAATTTCTTATCGAGTTTGATCTAATCTACATAGTGATCTATCTACATATTACACGAGAATTTTAGGTCAAATACCTTGTAGAATATGCACATATATTGAATATATATGCATATATTATACATTGAAAGTTCAATTATTTGTATTTATGAAAACCAAAACAATGTCTAGAGTTAGGCACTAGTGTTATTAGTACTCAGGCTTTGACACTTTTTCCTTTACTTCTGACGTACTTATTCTGTTCTCCGAACAGAATATCGCTGATTAGACACAACTGATAACATAGTGAACAGTAGAGTATCATCTGTGTGTATTAGTTAGGTATACTAAAGATACTACACGCACACACATTCACGTGTAACAAAGTGTACGTGGGAAGAGAAAGACACGTCCCTCGAATCTTAGCTACGCGACTTCGGAGTTTCATATTTCATGCCATGCGATAAGCGCAGATAAGAAGCCTATTCTTTGTAGCTGCACTGTTGAACTGATGCAATATATTGAAGTGAGACAAATATACGTTTTCTCACTCTAACTTATTGCACTAGTTCAGCAGTGCAGCTACAAACAGGCCTAAGAACACGCCTCGTGTAACTGAATGCTTTCTCGTAGAAGGAATGTTCTCAAACAAAAGGGTACGCGCTCGCGGTTGGACTCGGCCGATTTCTCGCTCACAATTCATCGACGTTAATCGATCGGATTAACTTGCGCATTCAACGTAAAGAAAACCACGAGTTTCACGGATATGTTGAACAAAAAGAAGTTACTTTAACCTTTCCTTTTAAACATGTATTTTTTAATAATAAATAAGTCACATGTATACTCATACACATACATACTCCAAAGCAAAACCTGACTTTCGAGATGCATCGGTGAAACTCGTATTTGAACTTTGGAGAACAAGGAAGTGGCGATTCGATCATTATCAATGCACACAGTAATTATCAGTGTGATGCAATAATTTTCGATTGACGTCGGTGGTGTTTTTTTCCTTCTGTTGATCATGCACACGCAATTGCAAGTCATATAATACGCACAAATACCTCTATGACTTCTACTTAGAAAAGGCGAGGGTGACGCAATTATGCCGAGTGTGTTCCGTTGGAGACGCGTTGGAACGGCCGCCCCGACGTCTAACGGAACAGCTGATAAAGCGTAACGCCACTGACGCGATATACCGTAACGCGCTACGTGATGGATTTTTTAGCGGGGCCGCGTCACGTGGCCGCGACACGAAATCGACCTCGCGCACGCGAGATGTTCGCGAGAATTCCGCGTGCACGCGCCGATCTTTTCTCTCTCCCCCGCGAATTCTCGGCTTCTCCATTTTCTTTTTTGCGTTCGTCGCCGCGACCCGCGCATTGATCACGTCGAGAGTATGTCGGGGTCGTACCACATTTTTTTTCCATGACGAATATCGAGAGATATCGGCTAATACAATGATACATTGTATTGGCATACCGATATGAGCTATCTCGTCAGACCAAACAATATCATGCGATAACATTCACACGCGATAAGATCCGGCAGTTTATAAACAGAGGCAGAAACAAAGATAAGGAGCGAGCGAGAGAGAGAGAGAGAGAGAGAGAGAGATAAGGAAAGGGAGAGAGAGAGAGATAAGGAAAGGGGGAGAGAGAGAGAGAGAGGCGAGGAGATCGCGCGCTGCGAATAAAAAAAACATGGATCAGGACGCGAGATACAAGATGGCGACTCGCAGGGAAGGCGAGGACAAAAATGGCGTGGTTACGTTGCTCGCATGCCGCTTCTACTCACCAATTACTGGAAATTAAACTCGGCATTATAGCGCCCTTTTTACTACTTTCACTATTACTTAACGACAGACTGGAATTAATATTCATACTTCTTTCTTCGTAAAATTTTGGCGGCTTTAAGTGCACTGCTCCACAACGAAATGTTCGCTGGAGTAGCGATCGACAAACGGCGAGGGTTATCTAAAGCGCGTGAAAGACTGAAGTATTCTTCGCGACGTTTTCAGCGACACTGCTGGCAGCGCGACCGACGCCGACCTACCAAATGTACGCAGCGCCCCGTCCCACGTGACGTCAACCTGGATCCGTTCGCCAATCAAACGCGCCGAATACGTGTACGCACATGCGCCGACGCATGTTGCCTTTTAAACGCGAGTAATCGAACGAAAGATATATACTCGTTCCTTGGCGTTTGTTATTCGTGATCGTTCAAATCGAATACAAGACTTTTAAGACATTTCCCGAGAAAAAATATGATTATATATAATTGTATAAAATTATATATGAATTTCCCCTATCCATATATGGTCATATATATATCATACATGTCCACAGGGAAAAAAATGTTGATAAAAAAGGAAAGAAATAGTGTCCTTAAATTAAATGTCGATATCTCATGTATTACTAGAAGCATAAGCATTTACTTCGGTTGTATTTATATGTATAACAGTATTTTTTTTATTGTGGACGTATATACCCACACAACACAAATGTCCAAAATCGAGTCATAAGACTTTAGGACGTCTTTAAGACAATACCTTACAAATTTGTCTTAAAGATATCTTAAAGACGTCTTATGACTCAACTGGCAAAAAAAGATTATTCATGAATTTCGTTCCTGTATGCATACAGGAACGAAATTCATATATAATCTTTTTTTGCCAGTTTGTCAAGCCGTATCTTTTACTTCTTGCGAATAGACGGAAATGCAAATGCAAATTTGCATTAGCAATAACAGTTAGTCATAAACGCATTGCTTCGACGTGTGGTACACGAAAAAGTTACCTTCGTTGTCTATAATGACCGGTAAGTTGAATTTTAACTAAACGATAAAGCGAGTAACAGCTGAACAATAAATGCTGGTGCAGATATTTAAATTATGGGAGGATAATAATGACGGTATTAATACATATGCTAAATATTTTTCCAACGAATACTCTTGTGATGTACGTAACGAGTCAATTTTCCACGTCAAGAACTGACCTTGAATCCTGATTAACTCACCGAAGGATAATATATTTCCGCTACCTTTTAAATGGCAATTACGCTTATTCCTTGATTTTCCTTTCTTTGGATTGCTTGAAAAAACTCAGATATCGTTAAAATTTCCTTTATCTTTCCAGTTGAAAATCACATGGCTCTTTGTAAATAAAAATAAATTACTAAGTATTTACTTTAAGTAAATATAGTAAACTAAGTATTACTTTAAGTAAATACAGTAAATTAAATATTTACGTACTTTACTTAGTAAATATTTACTTTGCTTAGTAAACACTTAGCAATTTATTTTTATTTAAAAAAGCCACGTGGTTTTCAACTAAAAGGAAGTTTCAATAATTTTTGGGATTTTTCGAGCAATCTAAGGTGAAAAACCGAGGAAGACACTAATGGTCCTGGTTGTCACTTCGAAATTAGCGAAAATACGATGTCATTTGTGTGCGCAAAATTTTATTTTTCATGATTTTTAAACAAAAATACTCTGAGAAACAAACACTTCTTAGAATGGCTTCAACACAAAAACTCTTGCTACTCGAGAATTTGTGTTAACTACTTTTCTCCTTTACTCATCGTATCATATCTCTAATATTTACATTATAAATTTTTTTATTCACTTTTTTATTTTCAATATTACGAAAAAATTAATACAATTAATTATGATAGGGATATGAGATGAGGAGGAAGAGAAGAGGAGAATTAATAATTGATATTTAAGATCGGTTTGATGTAGAAGTTTGATTCATCGCGAATAATGCTAAGCATTTATATTATCCTTTTATAATTTAAATATTCGAACCAACGTCCATGTTCGGCTTTTACTTTATTTCTTCTTCATTTAAGTTGTACACTCCGAGAGTCTGTTATATGCAGTAAATTTTAATAGTTCTAATCTTGAGAACGAGAAAAACACTAACTTAACAATACCATGTAGTAATCGTTCCGTTTTATTTTTGAGAGCAACATTTAACGGAGTTTCACATCAAGTTCTTAGAGCCATTTTTTATTCATCGCAACGTACAATATTTCTTGTTTTGCACACACGCGTCTTGAGGACATAAATACGCTCATGCATAAATAAATAAAGTAAATATTGTTCGTATACGCCGCGATGCTTTTTCTAGGACGCGTGGAAGATAGATGGAAGATTCTCGCACATACATATTCTAACCATACAAAGGATGTATTGAACTTGACAGAGACGAAAAGGAAGAAACTGCGGTAAATGTATCGGCGTGAATTCAAATGCTCGGTCTTCGCCTTGAAGAAGCCCGCGTATATAACCTCGGTCCTTCATTAAATCTATCTCAAAAATTTGGAATGTCCGCGAAATTCGGATCTCTCTTGCTAAAGAGTGGCTTACTATCAATATCACTAAATGCTCGTAAGTCGGAGTATGTCAAGGCACAATGCGCTAGATTGTTCTTTACCTACCATTGGTTAACTAATTTAGATTCTTATATAGACAGGGTTAATCTCTTCTTCCCACGGTACATAACAAAATAGAGTGTTCGCGTTAGGATCCCCTCGAGATAAATCGCCATATAGGTACACATGCTATGATATGATAATTCTCCAAAAGTAAACGCTTCAACAGACTCGGCAGATATAGTGGCAAAGTAAACGACGATGGTAATAATAATATAATACTCTCTTATACGCAATTAAGTAGCTATTCAGCCGCACATCACCTGGCGGACGAAGTCTTCGTAATTAATATTACCCTGTGAATCTTCGTGACCCGCTAGTAACGTTTCCACTTCCTCGTCACTAAGCTTCTCACCTGCAACGATACGTATAGAATCGGTCGCAGAACGGTTTAGACACGATAGAGAATTGAGAGCTTACAAAATTGAGAGTTATCGTTGATGAGTGTAGCAATAATATAATTAACAACAAATAATAACACTAGCTTACAATGTTTTTATTATTTTGAATCAGACAAGATGTTTCTTATAGATTTTTGGATGCCAAAAACAATTCCGCAAACCAAATTTCACCAGTAAGTCAGTTTTCCCTAATAATTGAGGTTTAATATGTAAAAAACGGGTCTTTTTTGCGATATTTGATGTTTTTTTGTAAGAAAAAATAACGTTATCTTGAAATTCTGATTAGAGATTATAAATGTATTGTTCACCCTCTTTAAAATGTATTTTTTTATTTCAATATTTTATTTTTTAATCAAGTTATGAAGGATTAAAGCTAGGAGCTATTATATTAGAGATAGAGAGCATCCATATTAAAGTAACTTTAATCCTTTATAACTTGACTAAAAAGTAAGATATTGAAATTTAAAAAAAATGCATTTTAAAGGGAATGAACAATACATTCATAATTTCTAATCAAAATTTCAAGATAACGTTATTCTGTCTTATAAAAATACGCAAATCAAATATTGTAAAAAAAAATCCCTTTTTTTTATATATTAAACCTCTATTATTATGGAAACTTGATGTGCTGAAATTTGGTTTGTGTAATCGTTTTTGACACCCAAAAATCTATAAAAAACATCTTGTCTGATTCAAAATAATTTTTGGCTATAAACTAGTGTAATTAACAAGGCTCTGTGGATTACAATAATTACAATAAAAGGCATATAAGAGCCAAGCGCTGGATGAAACTATACAAAATTTTATGTAATTTTACTTCTTACATGTCTTTTATTGTAACTTAATAATAATAATAACATAATTACTGCGCAAATTTGTCGTTAATAACTCTCAATTTTAATAATTTCATTTTATATATAGAGATCCCAACTGCCTAAAACATCTTGTAATTAAATGTACAACAATAATCTCATACCAACGGCATTTTTCAGGAAAGTGCACACATACCCAGCGTCGTCAGAAGATGCCGCAGCTCCGCGGAAGATATGAAGCCATTTCCATCTTTGTCAAAGTGACGCAGACCCTCGATGAAGTCGTCCGCCGTGTCAGAGGTGCGGGACTTACTGATCGCCTGGTAGATCGGCAGAAATACCTCGAAGCTGATACGTTCGTCGGGTTTGTGCTGGTGAGTGAATTTCTTCACGTCAGACTCAGTCGGGTTTTGTCCCAGAGCGCGTAGCGCATCTCCAATTTGAGCCACATGAATTTTCCCATCCCCACGACTGTCGAACAACTGAAACGCCTCCTGGAATTCTATAACGATACAATGGGTCAGTGAGATATCAAACTATTCAAAAGTAAAACGTCCAGTAGCCAACACTTCTGTCAAATATTAATGATATATTATATTTCTATTTCGTCATTTTATATGGCGAATATGAATGCTATGTAAAGCACCTGTAAGATATGCAATCTTTAAAGATCAACTAGTATATATAAAATTTATATACATCTGTCTATCTGGGAAGGTGTATGTAAAGGAATAAGTAATAATTATCAAACTATTTAAGAGTTTAAGATATCAAACTATTTAAAAGTAAAACGTCCAGTAGCCGGCACTTTTGTCAAATATTAATCCAGATAGACTTTCTCATGGTCATCATGATGTGACACAATTGATGACGGGAACTTTACAATTGTTTTGATTAAATTCATGAGAGGCAAATTTATTGCATTGAATTAATCATTAAATTTACATGGTAATGTAAATTTTTTTATTACATTGATGCAACAGCAAATTTATTAAAAGTTGTACTCAGATTCTCATATTACATTTTGCATGATGTATTGTTTTGAGCACTTTTTTTTATATTTCTATTTCATCATTTTATATGGTGAATATGAGTGTTATGTGAAGCACCTGTAAGATATGTCTTTAAAAATCAACTGGTATATATAAAATTTATATACATCTGTCTATCTGGGAAGGTGTATATAAGGGAATAAGTAATAATTGAAAAATAACCAGAAAGAAATAAAGAATAATTGGTAAATAAATAATAAATTCTCATACATTGAAAAATAACTAGAAAGAAATAAAAAATAATTGATGAGCAATTAATAAATTCTCATACATACTTTAATGCTGAATACTGGTATAATGCAGTTCTGCAGTTTCCAAACGCTTTTACAGAGTGGAAGTACAAATGTTAATGCACCGAAGAGTACCCCATGTTACCAAAAACAGAAAAGATTTGTAATTAAAGAAACAGAATGTATTTCTATTATATGTAAAAGTATTTACACTTCTATGCAACCAAATGGAAAAACAGCGCAAACTACAAAACTGCATTATGTCAGTATCCTCTTATGGGAATCTATTAATTATTTATCAATCATTACTTATTATTTTTTTACTTCTACAAAATGCATTAAAGGATACACCATGTCATATAAAAAACAAAAAAAAATTTTGTAATAAAAAATATTTTATCTTTGACATAACATGGAGTAATCCTCAATACATTAATATTTGTACTTTCATTTTGTAAAAGTATTTGCAAATCTATGCAACCAAATGGAAAAATAATGCAAACTATAAAACTGTGTTATGTCAATATCCAGCATCATTTTTTAAGCTGTATGAGAATTTATTAATTATTTATCAATTATTATTTATCATTTTTTATCTCTGTGCAATGCATTGGAGGATATCCCATGTTATATAAAGCAAAAAAAGAATAAAAAATTTTGTTTTTAATATAACATGGGATACTCTTCAATATACTGATATTTGCACCTTCACTCTGTACAAACATTTGCAACCAAATCGAAGAAAATTGAGTGTAAACTACAAAACTGCATTGCATTGGTATCTAGTATTCCATCTAGCTATTTGATAAAACCCGTGCAAGAGTGCCGGCTACTGTAGGTTTTTTCTTAGGTCATCAAGATCATCTTTCCGTTCTCTTCTGCCTCTTCCTCAAGATTCGCGCTGGCGCGCGTTGTAATTAAATCGCCGCTCTACACACAATCGGCGACAGGATTATGTTTACCCTCCATGGATGACATCATCCTTTGAGACAGCTCCTGATAGCTGTAGCCGTACATTCTGCCTGGCCGACTTTTTCTCTCCTTTCCGCGACAGATAAGACTTATCGGGCACTGTGACACACGCGATAACGCCGAGAACGTCACCGTATCGGCCGACTTCCAATTACTCTACGTGTTGGCGGAGCACATGCGTCGCGAAGCGAGTGCAATCGGGCGACAGTGAGAGTCCATCGCGAGACAGCTCGATCGGAGGAGGCAAGAGCGCGATTAAGTCGCCGCCGCCGACGACGACGACGACAGTGGCGGCAGCTCGCTTTCAAATACCAAGCCATAAAAGGCAATCGCCGAGAAGCAGTGCCGCTCCTTGCACCGGAGGGTGCGTCTAAAAAGGCGATGATACTCTTGACCTGAATTACGAACCCGGGGAAACGAGCGCGGCGCGACATGGCCAAGCCCCCCTCGTCCGTCGTTCGCGAAGCTCTCTCTCTCTCTCTCTCGATCCGGCTGTACGCCACGGCGCCTTCACTTACCAGCCAGCTGATCCTCGGAGTAAGACGCCTGCGAACATACACGCGCGATTCGTTTAGACGCATGCTCGGGGCGGTGAGTCGACGACGCGCCTCGCGCGTCCAGCCGACCAGCCGTCGACGGCTTCCTCGTTGCGTATGTACTCACCATCCTGCGCGTTCGACGGTCCCAACAGCGACGAATGACAGTCAGCACGACACGAATTCACGTAACAGGCGGCGCCCCGCGAACTGTGCAGCGAACGAGCGTACGAGAGCCGTTCCACTGGCAGCGGTGACGTAGCAGAGCGGAAGTGAGTCACGGCTGATCGGCGGACGGATCTCTCTCTTTCTTCCTCGGTTTTCTTGCCTGCTTGCTTTCTTTCTTTCTTTCCTTCCTCAGGGCCGTCGCGAACCTCGCCGCGAATGTGCCTGAGGGCGATTGACACGCGCGGTCCAGCGAGCGTTAAAAAACTTCCGTCATCGCGACGAGCTGCGCAACGATTTTCCTCTCGACTCCGTTTGACGGCTGGCGAAATTTTCGGAGCCGCCCGCGCCATCTGTCGCGCGGGCCCCTCGCGACGTCGTCGACGCGGCGTCCGCGTGGTGGCGCCTGAGTAGTAGCCTGGTTTTTTGCTTGAGAACAGTTTGAATATGGAAGTTTCGGGGACGGTACGTGAAATTGAAGCTCGGTGAGAAGTTTTGAAAAGTAGCCATGGTGTGCCCGGTAAGTCGTATCGTTTCGGATTCAATCATTTCGGAACGTTGATATGCGCGCGATTTGCGAGGACGTTATTTTAGTCAGCAGCCGTTCATGCGTAAATTATACTCCAAGTCTCACGTGTAGACAAAACGTAAACTATATACAAGGTGTTATCTACATAGATTGTAAACAATGAGTAAAGTAACTGTAGTATTTGTATATAGACAATGAGTAATTGTGTGTGTATTGTCTATATATGGACAATGAGTAATGTAAATATTAAATGGATGTTGTTTAATAAATGTATGACTTACCCGGAAATTAATTTAAAACAATTTTTTTTTAGTTTACATTTAAAATCTTCTGATGTAATCTTACAAATGTCCTTTTTTACACAAGGTTAACGTCCATAGAATATATTTTTTGGTTGCATTTTTACCTTTAGAGTTAAATCTGTCAATGTGCCACATAATTAAATGCAAATTTCAAACAATCTATTATCTCTTTTAAATATTACGTTGTACTTCCTAATGAAAAATTTTTCATATATAATTATATAAAATTGTATAAAATTATATATAATTATATATAATTATATATTATTATGTATCAAATTTGTCCATTCATGTTCATACATTTTATTTGTATATATAATTATATATAATTATATATAATTATGTTTAATTATATATATAAATTCATATATAATTTTACATAATTACGCATAAATTTATATGTAATTATACATATTGTTATACATAATTGTATATAATTATATATAATTTTATATGATTATATATAATTATACATAATTATGTATGGACAAATGTCATATAAAATTTTGCATGAAAAATTTTTCATCGGGTTAATATTACATTTGTAATTAATATTTAAAACAAATACGGTAACTGTCTTATAATTACATTACTCTTTTTTGTATATTTTAATTTACAAATTTTAATTTACATATTTTTATTTTTATGTTCTATGTAGTTTATATCGTCTACGTGAAAAATACCGTGTACATATCGCATAATATATAAATAATGCGTGTAAACGTAATCTTGAAATTCACGATACAATCCTAATATAAACTGTACATAAGATTTCATCCATGTGAATAATCAGTAATTCATAGATGACATCTAAAGAACGTGTGGCTTGCTCGAAGATTAATTAAGAAAAGTTTCTATTTTTATTTAACATTTAGAATCCTCTGATGTAAACATACAAATGTTCTTTCCTAAACACAACTTAGCGTTCACAAAATATATATATATTTTTTCTTTTCTAGTTATATTCTTACTCATTCACAATTAAATCTGCCACATAATGAAATGAAATTTTCATGCGATTTGTTATCTTTTTTAAACGTTATATTTATAATCAATATTCAAAACAGATACGGTAACTGTCTCATAATTACATTATTCTTTTTTTACATATTTTAATACAATTTATAGTGTTCTACGTAGTTTACATTGTTTACGTGAAGAAAGATCGTATGCAATAGCTACCCAGATAGCACAGAAAATTGAAAAAGAATTCAGTTGTGTGTCATCGATTCTAAGTTTATTTTTAGAAAGAAAGGAATTCTTTTCACCGAACTGAACTCTGAAGAATTCTTTTTACATCTGAAAATGAATTCGGAATTGGTGACATATGACTGAATTCTTTCTGAATTCTCTATGCTATCTGGGTACATAATACGTGCAGAGGCGTAATCTTGAAATCTACGGCACAACCCTGATTGTAGTATCGTTTTATTATTCATACATAGCTATACAGAAAAAAGTCACGCTTATAACTGTAAAATCGTTTAACGCTCAAGCTCGATTGCGTCGGACTTTGCTCGATGGCGCGATCGGCGGGGTCATCCCCAACCTGGTGCTTACGCTAAGATCCATCCTCGATATATTCAGCAAGATTCAAACAATTTCTCAATTATATCACAGAAATACAGACTTTGAATTTGAGTGTAACAGTTTGGAGACGCATAATTACAAAACTGCGTCCACGTAATCGGATGGTGATCGGGGAAACTCGTAGAAAATCACGTAAAAATCTGTGCGTAAACGCTAATTAAAAACGATCGACGGTTTTAAGGGAAATCACCGCGGGCTGGGGTGAATTCTCACAAAGAAAGGTAAATTGACGATTCATGTTTCTCCGAATGGCACGCACTTGTAGGTATATTGTGCGGTATTCCTCCTCCACTTTTGTTACAATTACATGCGCGGTTTCCGTAACTCTTGTATCTAGTATTTACGATTAATGTTAGAGTTAATATTGTATGATAGTAAAATGAAATATCACTCTCCATCGTCGTAACTGACATTGCCTATGTATCCTTACTTCGTCGTCGATCTAAGAAGTATATAACAAAGTACGTCCATAGCATTTACGATAATATTGATAAACAATTCTGTGCTCGTGATGTTACAGTAATAATTGACCTATTAGAAAAGAAGTTTCCTATATTGCGCATCGGTGCAACTAATGTAAAATATCAGAAACCAATATATACCTTAATATATATTTGCGAATAAAGCAATGTACAATTACCCGATGAAAAATTTTTCATGCATAATTATATATAAAATTTGTCCATACATAATTATGTATAATTATATATAATCATATAAAATTATATATAATTATACACAGTTATGTATAATCATATGTATAATTACATATAATTGTATGCATAATTATGTAAAATTATATATGAAATTATAGATATAATTATACATGATAATATATATATATATATATATATATATATATATATATATATATATATATA